TCCCATGTTCATAGATAGGCAGGATTAACATAGTAAAAATGGCAATCTTACCAAAAGTGATCTACAAATTCAATGCAATACCTATCAAAATCCCAACACAATTTTTCACAGACCTGGAAAGAACAATATTCAACTTCATATGGAAAAACAAAAAACCCAGGATAACTAAAATAATCTTGTACAATAAAACAACCTCTGGAGGCATCACAATCCCTGACTTCATGCTCTACTATAGAGCTACAGTAATAAAAACAGCTTGGTACTGGCATAAAAACCAACGTGTGGACAAATGCAACTGAACTGAAGACCCTGACATTAATCGGCACACCTATGAACATATGATTTTTGACAAAGAATCCAAAACTGTAACATGGAAAAAAGACAGCATCTTCAACAAATGGTGCTGGCATAACTGGATATCAACATGTAGAAGGCTGTGAATAGATCTATATCTGTCACTGTGTACAAAACTTAAGTCCAAGTGGATCAAAGACTTCAACATAAGTCCAGTTACTCTGAACCTGATAGAAGAGAAAGTAGGAAGTAGTCTTGAATGCATTGGCACCAGAGATCACTTCCTAAATATAACACAGACACTGAAAGAAACAATTAATAAATAGGATCTCTTGAAACTGAGAAGCTTTTGTAGGGCAAAGGGCACAGTCAACAAGACAAAATGACAGCCTACAGAATGGGAAAAGATCTTCACCAACCCCACATCTGACAGAGGGCTGATATCCAGAACATATAAAGAAATCAAGAAATTAGGCATCAAAATACCCAACAGTCCAATTAAAAAATGGGCTATAGAGCTAAACAGAGAACTCTCAACAGAAGAAGCTCAAATGGCTGAAAGACATTTAAGGAATTGCTCAACATCCCTAATCATCAGGGAAATGCAAATCAAAACGACTCTGAGATACCATCTTACACCTGTCAGAATGACTAAGATCAAAAACACTGAAGACAGTCTATGTTGAAGAGGATGTGGAGCAAGGGGAACACTCTTCCACTGTTGGTGGGAATGCAAACTTGTAAAGCCACTTTGGAAATCGATATGGCGCTTTCTTAGAAAGTTGGGAATCAACCTCCCTCAAGACCCAGCTATACAACTCTTGGTAATATACCTAAGGAATACTCAATCATACCACAAGGACACTTGCTCAACTATGCAGCATTATTTGTAATAGTCAGAACCTAGAAACAACCTAGATGCCCTTCAACTGAAGAATATATAAATAAAAATGTGGTATATATACACAATGGAGTACTACTCAGCAGAGAAAAACAATGACATCATGAGGTTTGCAGGCAAATGGATGGAACTGGAAAAGATATTTTCTCCTGAGTGAGGTAACCCAGACTCAGAAAGACAAACATAGCATGTACTCACTCATAAATGGATACTAGATGTAAAGCAAAGGATAACCAGACTGCAACTCACAACTTCAGGGAGGCTACCTAGTAAAGATGACCCTAAGAAAGACACAGGGATCACCCAACGACAGAGAAATGGATGAGATCTACATGCGAAAACTGGGAGTGAATGGGGGTAATGGAGGGCAATGGTCGGGGGAAAGACAGCTTAGGGGAGCAGGAAGTCCCAGCTGGATCAGGAACAGAGTGGGAGAACAAGGAAAGAGATACCATGATAAATGAAGACCCCATGGGAATAGGAAGAAGCAGAGTGCTGGAGAGGTCCCCAGAAATCCAAAAAGATACCTCCACTATAGACTACTGGCAATGGTCAAGAGAGTGCGTGAGCTGACCTACTCTGGTGCCCTCATGGCCAAACACCCTAACTGTCATGACAGAACTCTCATCCAGTGACTGATGAAAGCAGATGCAGAGATCCACAACCAAGCCCCAGGTGGAGCTCCAGGAGTCCAATAGGCGAGAGAGGAAAGGGATTATATGAGCAAGAGATGGAAACCATGATTGGAAAAAGCACAGGGACAAATAGCCAAACTAGTGGAAACACGTGAACTGTGAACCAATAGCTGAGGAGCCCCCATGGAACTGGACCAGGCCCTCTGGATAAGTGAGACAGTTGATTAGCATGAACTGTTTAGGAGGTCCCCAGGCAGTGGGACCAGGACCTGTCCTTAGTGCATGAGCTGGCTTTTTGGAACCTAGGGCCTATGCTGAGACACTTTACTCAGCCTTGGTGTAGGGAGGAGGGGACTGGACCTGCCTCAACTGAATCTATCAGGCTGGGCTGACTCCCCATGGGAGACCTTGCCTTGGAAGAGATAGGAATGGGTGGTGGATTGAGGGGGGAGGCTGGGGGTGGGAGGAGGGAGGACAGGGAAATCCGTGGCTAATATGTAAAATTAAATTAATTATAAAATAAAAATATTTTTTAAAAAAACATATTAGATCATATTTCTGAATGTTGTAGTTTTAACAACATAAAATATAATAAGATAAATTGAAAACCCACATATTAAAATTGGACAAGCCAAGACAACAGAAAAATAAAAGAGCCCAAAGTGAAGGCACAAGAATCAGAAACTCACTTATCTACACATTCAGGAGTCTCAAAAAAGCACTCAACTAAAAGCTATGGTATGTATGCAGAGAAAGAGACAAGTGTAGGCCCTGTGATTACTGTATCCATCTCTGAGTTCATATGAGCTTTGGTGAGGTATTTTAAAAGGCCTTGTGTCCTCCATGTCCTCTGTCCTCAGAGCTCATTCTCCCTCCTCCTCCATGCGTTTCCCTGAGCTCTGAGGGGAGAGAGTTGATGGAGATATCTCATTTTGAGTGGTTTGTTGCAAGGTCTCACTTTCTGCATAATATCTGGCTGTGGGTTTTTGTATTTTATTCCATCTTCTACTGGAGTAAGTCTATCTGATGGATCAATAATTCTTTCTTTCAACAAATATTTGTTGATAATGGTGGTAGGATAGAGGTAAGCAATATTCTACTAAATCCTCACAAATCTAAAAGAATAAAAATAAATAAAACATGTAGTAAAAAAAATGTGAGAATCACTGAAAGGCAAGAGAGTATTGAGTAAATAGCAGAATAATCAAGACTAGATAAAACACACAAACATTGGGTAATACAGTTAAAATGAGAAAAGCACACTGTGACAGAAAGTGCCAGATAAAAGGCCGGGAGACGAGGGAGACTCTCCTCTCCTCATATCTTGCTTCAAAAAGGAGAAAAGAAAAATCTGCTGGAACAAAGATAGCTAAAGCAAAATAGTGGATAACTGACACACCAAGAAGATACTGGGAAATTACTCAGGGCTGCTGTCCAATGTCACTGTCTTAAGTATTCTGATGAGGAAGACATAGAACCCAAGACAAACTTTGCAATCAAACCAGTCTATTGGGAAGAGCAGGCAGTCCAGCACAACCACGTGTGACCTCAAACTCTAAAGACCTGCCCTCTACCCAGTGAAAGAGAGACCCAGAGATTCACAGAAGCACAGGAGCCTGCAACAGGAGCTGACCTGAACTGAAGGCTCTGGAACAAGCCATTCAAGCTAAGACTGCAGAGGTTGAACGCAAATTCCAAGGTAAGATGACAGTATTTACAATGTTAAGATTACAGTGGCCAGTGACACATCAGAGCCTCAGTCTGTGAAATATATGAGAACACTGAGAGACTGTCCAGCAATCTTGAAATATGAATCTGGTCAGGTGAGAAGTCATATACAGCAGCACATTACACTGATGATAAGAAAATTCAAATGAAATGAGTTTTCTCACCATCCCATAATGAAGAGTGAGGCCACATTCTGTCACACATTTAAGCCTGAAAGTAACTGTTGTAAGGAGCAGAAGCATTCCTTAAAGTTCATACCTTAATGACCCATCTAAACCAAGAATCAAGACTGTCACTCTGGAAGGTCTGGCTGGACACTGAGTGTGTGAAGCTCCAGGGCAAATTGGATGTTTTCAAGATCCTGGGAAGTTTTAGTGACTATGAGGGAAAACCAAAGAAAAAGACATTTCTGATCCCTCTGTGGATGTTTTGACTCAAAACTAACCATGAATCTCAATGGGAAAAAAAAGGAATGAATTTGAAAGAGAGAGGAGTTACAGATTACATGGGAGGGTTGAAGGGAGGAAAGTGAAGGGAATTCATATAAAAATATAAATTGTATTAGATATTTGCTGATAATATCTCCCCAGTATCATTAAGCAGGAAATAATTGAAGCAAAATATATATATTTAAAAAGTATTTTGAAAATTTTCAATGTACATACAGTATATAAAATGGGACACCATACCTTTAATTTACAATGTAAGCCAATTTTATGTGCTCCAAAGGGATGGTGAATGAATGCATCCCACACTAAAAGTTTTTAGCAGTATTCAAAGAATGTAGGACATGAGGATTCATTGAGAGGAGATATTTTGTGCAATGAACAATGTATTTAAAACCTTAATGAAAATATGAAACAACCCATCTATCAAATTATGGATTGAGTGAGCTTTAATAGACTCGATAGGCAATTCATTAATTGTGTTTGTATATTTTTAGTGAAAAAATGAAAATTAGTTCAAGTTGAAGAAAAATGGCATGGCTGAAATTGCTCTTCACATTTTGTAACTTCTAAGGTGTTTGTACGTTTATGTCTGCACCCTGTCACCCTGATTCATATCCAGTACAGATGACACCTATAAACAGGATGTAGCAAAAGAAGAGATGGTACACAGAAATAAAAAGAACTGGATCTGTTTTTTTTTCCACATTTCCCTTTTGAGGACAGAGGAACAGACACATGCAGAAAGAAACTAGGAATGCCCAGCCTTTGCAAGTATGCATCCCAGATACCCGTAAACTTCTTTAGCTTATGTGTTAGATCTATGAGAGGCAAGGTAGGCACAATAAAACAACAGCAGCCACACATGGTAACTCTTCCCTTGTTATATCCTTAATGAATTTGTCAGGTAGAGTTGCTTTGTCATATCTTCTATCAGTGTCTTGTCTAGCTCTGTATCCCTCACACTGCTTAATTCAACCAGGAATTTTTCTTTGATTAGTTTGAGCCATGGCCTCTTCCCCAATGATGTTGTTTCTCATTACTCTGCTGATGTCATCAATGCTCACTGAAGGAAGGGTAAGTTTAAAATGATAATTATTTCTGATCTATCTGGCAACTATGTGAGATGGTACACTACTTGGTAGTTCAGAAATCCAGAAGGTCTGATAGATGACAGCATTCTCATGGGGTCTAGGAGCAGTTAACAGGGCTATGGAGATGAGAGAATAAGACTGCAGTCTCGCCAGGCAGTGGTGGCGCACGCCTTTAATCCCAGCACTCGGGAGGCAGAGGCAGGCGGATCTCTGTGAGTTCAAGGCCAGCCTGGGCTACAGTGCGAGCTCCAGGAAAGGCACCAAAACTACACAGAGAAACCCTGTCTCGAAAAAAAAAAAAAAGATTGCAGTCTCCAACACTGGCAACTATAGTACCCACCAGTGACATGTGGGAACAGGACACTTAAAAGGGAAATGCACAACAAATATAGGGTACTTACCAGATATCAAAGATGCACATTAAAGTGTTTAAGATACAGGTCAGTCAATAAAGCATTAACAGCTTGTCATCAACTGCACTGCTACCACTGTGAAATGGACAGAAGAATCCAAAAGCCAGCAAAGGACTTTGTCTCAAATATAGATGTATCTGAGGACAAACAACAAAAATTATCTATTAACTTCTATATGATGTGAAATCTGCCTCAATCACAAGAGATAAATAATCCCTCCTTCCTCTGCATCATACAGTTGGTTCCTAATTAAGTTTGAGGACATATTGTTCATTCAAAACAAACTTTTTTTTTTTTTTTTTGGTTTTTTCAAGACAGAATTTCTCCGTGTAGTTTTGGTGCCTGTCCTGGATCTCACTCTGTAGACCAGGCTGGCCTCGAACTCACAGAGATCTGCCTGGCTCTGCCTCCCAAGTGCTGGGATTAAAGGCATGTGCCACCACTGCCTGGCCCCAAAACAAACTCTTAAGATATATATTTTGTATATTATTCTCAATATTTTTTAAAATTTTGGACCTCCTAAAAACACATCTCTTCAGAAGAATTTTTCATATATAAAACAAGATAGCATATGAAGTAGAAAATTACTATTATCTTTTCTCCTAGGTAAACTCATTTTGAGTTTTGAAGTGAATTTGCTTTACACTTGATTTCAAGTTTAGTAGGAATTATATGGGGATGAGAACTTTGGCTTAAATAAAATGCAGTGAATCACTGTTACAGATGTCTGGCAAGCGCATACTTTCTACCAGGAATTGGTAACTGTGTGTGGTCTATTTGTTCAAGCACTCACTAATGGTCCTTGTTCACAGGAACATAAAACAGGAGCTAGACATAGACACACAGTAGATAATTGCCATACTGTATGGTGAGGTCTGTGAGGACAGAACTCTGAGACTCTAAAAAATCAATCTTAAGTCACGTTGGAATGAATGACTAACTCAACTCAAAATATCAGAGAAAATACGCAGCGACACTGTGCATTCTGATTGTTTACATAAGTTTAAAGTATTGCTCTTGCCCATAGCTCACTACATCCTTGCTGAAAATCAACCTTAGATCTTGTTCCAACAATTCACATTTTTCTACACCTGCACCTGATCCTCACATACATACATCTACAAGATAATTTGTGTCCATTTGAACCAGGGTTAGTAGCTCATCAGCTGCAATTCTGTCATTCACCTGAACAACCCAAGAAATAGACATTTCACTAGATCAATTTACTATCCCTAAGTAGCCTGTAAAAATTTGTGTTAATAAAGCTGGGAGTTAACCAAGCCTGGAAAATATGCTCCAAATCTAAGAAACAGTCCTGGTAGAGTACTTAGTGGGGCCCCTGCTCTTTCACTGAGCCACATCCTCTCCAAGGGCAGGTGACAAGGAGCCAGTGTTTCCTTCGTGCTCTAGGGTGAGTCATCACAGCCTCTTCCCATCTTACTGTATCCTGAACAAATACACATGGATAGGTCTGATGTTTCTTACTATAAATCTTGTTATAAAAATTTACTTCTACCAAAGGTTCTGGCTCAGACTCAGAAAGAGCCCATTATATCAGCTGACAAGACAAATGTCAAAGCTGTCTTGGAAAAGAGTACTGTCAAAGTGAAGGAAATATAGAGGCCTTGGAGAGGATGCTGTGTGACTCCATTCAAAAATCAAACATAGACTAAAGACCTAGCCAATGAAAATAAGCGCACATTAGACCTGTGTACTGTTTTGATAGTCCTGAGAAAATCCTGTGAACAGAAGCAATAAGTGGACCCAGTAAACTACACGAGCATGGTCCATAGGGTTCTAGAGAGTACAGTTAGGCACCAACAAGAAAATTTCACATGCAAAAATCTCTCTATTTTAGAAACTATATTGGACTTACTGAAAGGTGTGTTTATTTCCCAATAATGTTAACCTGGAGCCTCCTGGTGTCCTTCCTGCTGTGCCTCTTAGCGGGCTCTCTTTCAAGTCATATGTCCTCTTTAGTTAGCCACCCAAATACGAAGAGAGTGGAAACAGTATTAAACACAAAAAAACTCCTCTCCTCTTAAAAAGACCAGAAGCAGGAAAGAGAGTGTTCTGGACCAGGAATGGAAGGAGCAGGCAGCTAGTAATTAGTCACTACAGAACTAATGGTTAACCTTCCTTTATTTAAATGCACACATTGTTTCATTGCTTAAAAGCACACGTTGTTTTGTTGCAAGATTCCTAGTCAAATCATCATGGGTAACAGCCAGTGAAGCACAACCATGTGTGGCCTCAAACTCTAAAGGCCCTCCCTCTACCCAGTGAAAAAGAGACCCAGAGACCCACAGCAGCACAGGAGCCTGCAACAGAAGCTGACCTGAACTGAAGGTCTCTAGAACAAGCAATTCAAGCTAAGACTGTGGAGGATGAAAGCAAGTTCCATGATAAAAGTAATGTATTTACAATGTTAAGATTACAGTGGCCAGTGACACATCAGAGCCTCAGTCTGTGAAATATACAGGAGAATTGAGAGACTGTCCAGCAATCTTGAAAAATGAAACTGGTCTAATGAGAAGTAATATAGAGCAACATACCAAGCAGATGACAATAAAACTCAATTCAAATGAATTTCCTTATGTACTCCTGATTGAGAAGAGTGGGACCACATTTTGCCTAACATTTAGACCCTAAAGCAATTTCATAGGGAACAGGAGCATTACTTATAATTCATTCTTTGCTGATCCACCAAGAACAAGAATAAGGCTGTCATTTGGAAGGTATGAGCACTGAGTGTATGAAGACCCAGAATGAACTGGAATGTTTTCTAGATCCTGAGGAGTTATTGGTGTCTATGAGGGAAGACCAACAAAAAAGACATTACAGATCTCTGTAGTGACATTTGAGTCGAATTTTAGTCATGAATCGGAATGAAAAAACACGGAGTGAATTTCAAACAGAACATTATGGAGTGCATGGGAGGAATTGAAGAATGGAAAGGGAAGGGTAAATGGTATTAAAAATATATAATTGGGGCTGAAGAGATGGCTCAGAAATTAAGAGCAAAGACTCTGCTCTTCCAGAGGTCCTGAGTTCAATTCCCAGTAACCACATGGTAGCTCACAACCGGTGGTGATGAGAAATGTTGCCTTCTTCTGACATGCAGGCAGAACACTGTATACATGAGAAATAGATGAATCAAAACAAAGAAAAAATAAACTACGTCTTTGCTGATAATGGATCTCCATTGTCATTCAGCTAAATAACAATTTGAAGCAAAGCATATATTTAAAAAGTGGATTTTGAAGATTTAAAACATATGCACAGTATATAAAATGAGACATCACACCTTTAATTTAGAAAGAAGGTGAGTTCATTCCACACCAAGTGGTCTTTAGAATCATCTAAAGGATTTAGGACTTGGTGACACATAGAGAAGGGACATTCTGTGCAATGAGTGGAGTGACTTTAAAACTTAATGAAAATATGGAACAATCCATCTAACAAATGATGAACTGATTGAGCTTAAATATACTAAATATACAATTCACTAATTGTTTCTATATTTTCTTATTGAAGAAAAAATAAAAATTGATTTAAGTACAAGAAACAATAGAATAACATGCAATCCCTATTCACAAAATGCCACTTCTAAGGTGTCTGTGTATTTATGTCTGCAAAATAACAATGCTGATGCCCTGAATCATATCCAGTATAGACGAAAGCTATAAACATGGAATAGCAAAATAAGAAAGAAAAAATTGAACTGAATCTGTTTTTTCCACAATTCCTTCACCTTGAAATAACAGAAAATATATAACGACACTGTCTGTTTACATGTGCTTAAAGCATTGCTCTTACCCATAGGCCACCAATTTTTGTGGAGAAACAATTTTAGACCTTGTTTAGACAATTCACAAGCATTGTACTACCATAGCATTTGATCCCCACATAGACTCATCTCCAAGATAATGTGTGAATTTGAACCAGTGCTAATAGCTCATAGTTGCATTTCTACCACTAACCTGAACAAATGCAGAAACAGTCACTTCACTAAATCAATTACTCTCCCCAAATAGAGGAGGGTTTGTGTGTGTGTGTGTGTGTGTGTGTGTGTGTGTGTGTGTGTGTGTGCATGTGTGTGTTCATATCTGAAAGTTGGGTGTTGAGCAGCCATGGAGAATGTGCTCCAAATCTGTGAAACAGTCATAGTAGACTATTCAGTGGGATGCCTGCTCTTACACTAAGCCAAATCCTCTCTAACTGCGGATGACAAGGAGACAGGGTTCCCTTTGTGTTCTAGGATGAGTTATGAGCTCATGGCCTTTTTCCCTCTTACTGTATCTTGCACCAAAACAAACAGGTAGGTCTTATGTTTCTTACTATAAACTGTGTTATAAAAAATTGTCTTTACCCCAGGTCCTGACACAAACTCAGAATGAATCCATCATATCTACTGAGCGCAAGACAAATGTCAAGACTGGCGTGGACAAGGTTGACTGCCCATGTGAACTAAATATCAAAGATAGCTTGGAGAGTAATCTTTGTGCACACCATCAATACAGAACAGCATTTGAAGACCTGACCAATGCTAACCTACACAAGTTAGACCGGTCTACACTCTTGAATTCCCTGAGAAAATGTTGTGATTACATGAACCAAGGGAACTCAATTAACTTCAGTAACAAAGCCCATAAGCTCCACAGGAACAGAGACCAACAAGAAAATTTGTTATTCTACCCTTTGGAAGAATGCATAAACTTAGCAATAATAACTATGCTTCTCCGTTAAAGTTAACCAGGGGCCTCCTGGTGTCCTTCCTGCTGTGCCTCTTATTAGGCTCTCTTTTATGTCATACATCCTCTTTAGTGAACCGCCCAAATACAAGGAGAGTGGAGTCTATAAAGATACACAAAAACTTCCTCTCTTCTCCTTCCAGTAAGATGATAAAAATGGCCAGAGGCAGCAAAGAAAGTCTTCTGAACTAGGTGTGGAAGGAGCAGGCAGCTAGTAATTAGCATTATTTTAGAACTAATCACCTAACTCTCCTTTATTTAAATGCACACAGTTTCATTTCAAGACTCCCAGTCGACTCATCATGAGTAACTCAAACTTCCTCACTCTTGTCTGATCAAAAATGAATGGAAACCTGCTATGCTTCAAACTAAAAACTTTGATGGTTATAAAATATTTACTATCATGATGTTTTCTCTTTAACTTCTGTTTTGATAACTGCATACAAGTATATGGTAAATTTTGATCACACTCAGATCTCAGACTGTTATCTCCCTCCATCTTCCATGAACTATAAACTCACTTCCTATTCTCCTGCTCCATGTGTAACCCAGGCATAATACTGTTATAACACTTTCCTGCTTCATGTCTCATGTTTTGGAGCTCACTGGGTCTAACCTGGACTACCACACATATGTACGAAGTGACCCCTGGGACAAAGACAAATCACCAGGTACTAAGCCACTGAAGATAATGACTTCCCTGCTCCAGCAGCAATAACTGCCAATGCCTCTCTGGACAGGCCTAGGTCCTCTGAGACCCTCTCCCATCTATGACTGAAGGTTGACAAGCCCAGTCTTGTCCAGGAACTGTTCCTGCAATCCTATGTCCCTTCCTCCATGTGGAAAAGAAAAATAAGTCTGAGTTGGATGCTCATATTCATCCAAGTCAGTTAGGTTCTTACAGCCCTCAGATAAGGGGCTGGTAAAGTGTTTAAGACAGGCCTTTGTAAACAGAACAGACTTCACACTTACACTTCAGATGACTGCTCCTGCTGCACCACCAACTTCTCCTGAAAGCCTGGTAGGATTATATTCCTCCTAAATCTTACTGTGTGTGTACCTAGTAGAGCACTTGAAGAAAAGCTTTGAAAGCATAGGGGTCTTCATAAAAAGTGGATCTCCTTGACACTCACATAGCATAAAGTCCTCAAAGCAGATGAAGGATGTATAGCCTGGTATTGCTTCCCAAGGAGGTTTTGATGGTGGATCCTTGACATTTGGATTTGTCATGATCTGGATCTTGTGCCCAATTCTTAGACAGTAATTTGCCATGATGTATACTGTAGTGGGTAGCCATTCCAGCTTTGATCTGGAAGTTCCAACCCCCATTGAGACTTCGGCAACTGTCACGCCTATAAGGCGGGGCCGAGGGAGACGCCTGGAGACCCGAGATCTGGATGGGCCAGCACACTCACTCTGTTCCGGGACCCTGGACGGTGGAGGTGGGCCAAGCAGAGCTCCAGAGAGCACCGCTGGACTGCGATACACCTTCCCCAGACCCCGCGATCTACCTATCCCTTAACTTGTAAGTTACGCCATTAAATAAATCTCCTTTTATCTACGTGGAGTGGCCTTAATAATTTCACCAGTATCTGGCGCTCACGTGGGGCAAATTCCAAAGGCCTGGGTGGCTCCCACCCTCAGCCTCCTCCCCAGCTAGCGGGTACCTAAACCCGCCTGCAAAGTTCCATATAACCTGGGAATGCCTACACGGTTCCATTCCCGAAAAAGGGGGCAGCTAGTCCGGTCTCAGTTCCCTAGCTTAGCCCTGAGACCAGCGAAAGAGGCACTCCCCGGCTTCCTGAGTGCCGGCGCCGGCTCCCGCCATCTCGACTCCAGCGAGCTGCAGTCAGCCAAGATCACCAGCAGGCCCTGCTTTGGAGCTGTACCAACGCCACCTGCTGGCTGAAAAGTGCCACTACAGTATACTTTCTAGTTTGCTTGAGGTTTCTCAACTTGGCAGGGCAGGGTATCAAATACCATGATTTAATATACAGTAGAAGACAGTGAAATCTGCTTTTAATTCTGTTTATTTAACTTTACAGATAATGGTTTGAAACATCTGGCTTTTTAGATCCCTTAAGCTTTACCAGGTTTTCAAACACTTTATTCTAATCTGTTCTTCCAATGCTTTTTGTACTGGCTTGTTTATTCAGTTGCATGAGTTCATCATTTGTCCTTCCTTCTCTACAGTACAGCAAGTGTTTTAAACAAAGACCTGAAGCCCATGTAGGAGATAGTATAGAAAGCTTCATTAATAAATGTTTTGTAAAGTTTACTTGGGCTATAATTCCAAGGACTTCAGAGACTGTGGTACTGTGGGTCTAATTATAAGCTAAAAATGTAAGTCATCCTCAAATTGTGGGATTTTCTTCAAAATACTACTAAAGTGACTGGGCATTGCAAAAACACTGAAACTTATGAAAAATAAAGAAATCTGAGAAACAGTTGCAGGCAACTAGAGACTAAGATGTGACAATTGAATGTAACAAGGCATTTTGAAACAGATTGTGGAAGAAAAAAGAGGATGTGGGAGAATTGATGAAATACATAGGAAATGTAAAATTGTTTGAGTTCCGGTGTTGGAGCATTAGTCTTAACAAACACAACAAGCTACGTAAAATCATATAACTGAATAAGCTAACAGTGAATGAGGAGTATCTGGAATTTTGATGGAATGTCTTGCCAAATTACCTTAAAATCTAGGAAAACTCTAAAATGATCATGATTTTTTTAAAATGAACGATAGGAAGAATATATTTCTTAGTTCAATGAGAACAATTCCTTTATTTTCTGCAAAATATTTTTTAATTATGTCCCAGAATTTCTCCATAAACTCCAAATATCTCAATTGAATTGTTTTATTTTGTTTTCTTTTCCTGTGGACCATTCATATTATAACAATGAACTGTCAAATATGAATTGTGTGTCTATGCAGTATCAGGATTCTCTAATAATGACAAGGATAAATAATTCCTCCCTTCAACAAACATTTGCTGATAAAGATTGTAGAATAGAGGCAAGCAATCTCCTATTAAATCCTCACAAATCTGAAAAAGGAAACAATGTAATCACACACGTGAGAATCATTGAAAGACAAGGTAACAGTGCATTAAATAGCAGAATAAGAAAGACTACAAACAAACACAAACACTGGATAACACATTTATAATGGGAAAAGCAAACTGGGACCCAACATGCTAGATAAAAAGCATAGAGATGAGGGAGACTCTCCTCTCCCCATATCTTGCTTTAAAAGGAGTAAAGGAAAATCCCCTGGAGCAAATACAACAAAAGTAAAATAGTGGATCACTGACCCACCTAACAGATGCTGGGAAATGACCCAGGGCTGCTGTCCCATGTCACTCTCTCACATATTCTGATGGGCGAGAAGCAGAACCCAAGAGAAACTCTGCAACCTAACCAGCCTGCTGGGAAGAGCAGCCAGTCCAGCACAACCACATGTGGCCTCAAACTCTAAAGGCCCTCCCTCTACTCAGTGAAAGAGAGACCCAGAGACCCACAGCAGCACAGGAGGCTGTACCTTGAGCTGACCTGACTGAAAGCCTATGGAACAAGTAACTCAAGCTAAGACTGGAGAATGAAAGCAAGCTCCATGGTAAAAGGACAGTATTCACAATGTTAAGATTAAGAGTATAGTGGCCAGTGACACATCAAAGCCTCAGTCTGTGAAATACCCAGCAATCTTGAGAAATGAAACTTGTCGGATGAGACATAATATAGAGCAACACACCCAGCACATGACAATAAAACTCAATTCAAATGAATTTCCTTATGATTGAAAAGAGTGGGGCCACATTTTGTCTAACATTTAGACCCTAAAGTAAATGTCATAGGGAACAGGGAACTACTCATAACTCATTCTTTACTGATCCACCAGAAACTGGATTAAAAGCTGTCACTCTGGAAGGTATGGGCACAGAGTATAAATATCCAAAGTGAACTGGATTTTTTTCTTCAGATTCTGAGCAATTATTGGTTTCTATGAGGGAAGAATAACAAAAAATACTTTACAGAATAAGAAATACTAGATACAAGCATTGGGTATTCATTTATAATGGGAAAAGCAAAGTGGTACCTCAAGTCTAGACACAAAGGGTAGAGATGAGTGTGAAACTCCTCTCCCCTTATCTTGTTTTTAAAAATGAGCTAAGAAAGATCCTCTAGAGCAAAGACAGCCAATGTAATAGGAAATTACTCAGGGCTGCTGTCCAATGTCACTCTCTTAAACATTTAATGAGGAAGAAGCGAAAACCAAGAGAAATCTGCAATCAAATTGATTTGCTGGGATCAGCAGCCAATTCAGCATGGCCACATCTGGAAACAAATCTCTAAAGACCCACCCTCTACCCAATAAAAGAGGAGACCTAGACAACCATAGAAGCACAGCAGCCTGCAACAGGAGCTGACCTGACTGAAAGCCTATGGAACAAGCAATGCGATCCAAGACTGTGGCACAGGAAAGGAAGCTCCCTGGTAGGATGACATTATTTACACGGTTAAGATTATGGTGTTAGTGACACATCAGAGCCTCCAACTTTGAAATAGACAGGGAAATGGAGGGACTGTCCAGCTGGGCACCTGAAGACTAATATAGAGCAGCACACCATGCTCATGACTAGAAAGGTCAATTCAAATGAACTTCCTCATCTGCCCATGATAAAAAAGAGTGAGGCCACATTTTGCCTACACTCTAGGCCCTAAAGTAAGTGTCCTAGGGAGCAGAAGCATTCTTTGCAATTGACTCCTACTGGCCCACCAGGAAGAAGAAACAAGGTTGTCATTCTGGAAGGTCTGGGCACTGAGTGTGTGGAGATCCAGGGTAACCTGGAATGTTTTCTAGATCCTGGGCAGTTGTTGGTGTCTATGAGGGAAGATCAAGGAAAAAGACATAACAGAATTCTGTGGGGGCACTTTGACTAAAATTTTAGTCATGAATTACAATGAAATTCAGGCAGTGAGTTTGAAAGAGTGCATTTAGGAGTATATGGGAGGGCTTGAATGGAAGAAAGGGAAGGGGAAATGGTACAAAAATGTAAAGTGTGAGCCAGGCGGTGGTGGTGTACGCCTTTAATCCCAGCACTCGGGAGGCAGAGCCAGGCGGATCTCTGTGAGTTCAAGGCCAGCCTGGTCTACAAAGCGAGTTCCAGGAAAGGCGCAAAGCTACACATAGAAACCCTGTCTTGAAAAACCAAAAAAAAAAAAATGTAAAGTGTACTAGATCTTTGCCAATAATGGATCTTCCTTGTGATTGAGCAAATTACATACTTTAAAAAAAAAAAGGACTTTGAAAGTACACAAAGTATACAAAGTGAGACACCACACCTTTAATTTACATGTAAGCCATTTGTATGAGTTCCAGAAGGAAGGTGAGTGCATCCCACACACTAGTGGTCTTTTAGCAGCATGTAAAGGATGTACAACTTTGTGACTCATTGAGAAGGAACATTTTGTGCAATGAGTGGGGAATGTTTAAAACTTAATGAAAATATGAAACAGCCCACCTAACAAAACATGGATTAAGTGAGATTAAATAGAATAGATACACAATTATTATTGGTGCTCATATTTTCAAATTGAAGGAAAATAGTGGAAATTGATATGACTATAAGTCAAAATTGGCATAACTTTCAATGGTTCTTCGCAGATGACACTTCTGAGATGTTTGTATATTTATAGCTGCATAATCACAACCCTGGCATTTTGATTTGTGTCCAATATAGATGAAAGCTATTAAGAGGGAATTGCAAAACTTGCTGTGGTACAAAGTGAAAAGAAAATCTGGAAAAATTCAAACTGGATCTGTTTTCCACATTTCCTTTTAAGGACAGAGGAATAGACCTGTGCAGAAAGAAAGAATTCTCTAGCCTTTGCAAGTTCACATCAGGGACATCAGTCAAGTCCTTTAGCTTATGTATTGTGTCTAACAGAGGCAAAGTGGGCACAATGAAACTACAGAACCCCACATGACAATTCTTCCCTTATATTGTTATGAATTTGTCAGCCATACATACTTGCTTTGGCATGATTTTGGTCAGTGTGTTGGTTAGTTCTGTGTCCCACCCATGCTTAATTAACCAGAACTTTTTTCATTGATGAGTTTCAGTCATGGCTTCCTTCCCAGTGATGTTGTTTCTCACAACTCTGTTGCTGTCATCTAGTCTCACTAAGGGAGAGGTAAGTTTAAAATGCATAATTATCTCAGATCTACCAAACAACTTTATGAAATAGTACACTGCTTGGAGAGTATAGGAATCCAGAGGATCTGTTGGGTGCTGCATTCTCATTGGGGTCTTGAAGCACTTAAAAGTCTTTCTAGATAAGAGAATAAGGATGCACTCTCTACCACTGGCAGGTAGAGTACTCATCAGTATCATATGGGAACTGGACACTTGAAAAGTGAAATGCACTACAAATGCATGGTCCTTATCAGACATCAAAGATGCACAGCAAGAGGTCTGAGATACCTGTCAGTCAGTAAAGCATTAAAACTTGAGTTTAGATAGAAAGCTTGTTTTCAATGGCAATACTCCCACAGGCAGAAGAATCCAGCAGCCAAAAAAAGGACCTTGTCTCAAATAAAGTTGAATCTGAGTACCAACAACCAAAATTATCCTTTAAACTCTATAGCATGTGAAGTTTCCTGCAATCTCAAGAGATATATATAACCCCTCCTTCCTCTGTGTCATACAGATGGTTGCTAACCATTTGATTACATATGGTTCAATCAAGATGAAGTCTGGAAAGTTGCTATAGTTTATACATAATTGTGAAAAATGTTTTAAATTTCTGCCCTCCTAATAAAAACTCCACTGATACTCATTAGAAAACACATCTCTTCAGAAGAATTTTATACAAATAAACGCATAGCATAAGAGGTAGAAAATTACTATTATTTTTCTGTAAGAAAACTCATTTTGAGTTTTGATATAAACTTGTTTTGTACTTGATTCTGAGTTTTAAAAAATGCAGTGATTCGGTATTACAGATGCCTAGCAAGTGCTTTCTTTCTACCAGGAATTGGTAAGTGTGTTTAGTCTATTGGTTTAAGCACTCACTAATGGCTCATGTTCATGGAAATGTAAAACAGGAGATAGACATAGATATTGGTAGAAGTATTAAGGCAACCCTACGTAGTTAAAAGGGAGGTTTATTTTGTGGGGTAACTTACAAGTAAAGGGATTGGTTCCAGGGTCCGGGAAAGGTGTAGCGCAGTCCAGCAGTGTTCTCTGGAGAACTCTGCTCAGTCTGCCTCCAGCGTCCAGGATCCAGGAACCAAGAGAACCAGCACTTCTGGATCTCAGGTCTTAAGGGCTCCTCTCTCGGCCCTGCCTCATAGGCGTGACAGTTACTGGAAGCCTCAATGGGGGTAGTACTTCCAGGTCAAAGCTGGAACAGCTACCCACTACACATAGACATAGAGTAGACAATTGCCATACTATATGGTAAGGTCTGTGAAGAAAAGAACTCTGATACTCTAAAAGAAAATCATTCTTTGGTTATGGAGGAGTGAATAAACCTGGAAATACTAGAGAAAATATATAATGACGCTATGTTCACATATGCTTAAAATATTTCTCTTACCCATAAGACCCCACACTGTTGTGGAAAAACATCCTTAGACCTTGGTCAGACAATTCACAAGCATTGTTCTACACCTACACTTGATCCTCACATACACACATCTAAGTGATAATGTGCCAATTTGAACCAGTGCTAATAGCTCATCAGTTGCATTTCTACTACTAACTTGAACAAACTTGAGAAACAATCCCTTCAGTCAATCAATGATCAATTTACTATCCCCAAATTGTCTGGGAGTTTTGTTTTGTGTGTGTGTGTGTGTGTGTGTGTGTGTGTGTGTGTGTGTGTGTGTGTGTGTTACTATCTGAAAGCTGGATGTTAAGCAGCCCAGGAGAATGTGCTCCAAACCTGTGAAATAATCCTGATGGAGTACAGTGGGACTATGGCTCATGCGCTGAGCCAAACTCTCTGTAACTACAGATGACAAGGAGCCTGTGCTCCTTTTGTGGCCTAAGATAAGTCACAAGCTCAACCCCTCTTCCCATTTTATTACATTTTGCACAAATATAAATAGATAAGTCTTATGTTTCTTACTGTAAACCTTGTTATAAAAAAATTATCTCTACCTCAAATTCTGACTCAGACACAGAAAGAATCCACCACATCTGCTGATCATAAGGCAAACGTCAAGGCTGTTTTGGACAAGATTGACTGCCAAGGTGAAGAAAATATCGTAGAAGCCTTGGAAAAGATGCTCTGTGCCTCCCATCAAGATGATACATCATTTGGAGACCTGGCCAATGATGATCAAAACATGTTAGACCTGTCTACAGTCTTGACTTCCTTGAGAAAATGTTGTGCTCACAAGCAACAAGTGGAGCCAGTAAACGTCAGTAGCATGGCCCATAGGCCTGAAGGGCCCAGAGTTGGGCACCAACAAGAAGATTCCACACAGAAATACATCAACATGCTGGACAAATTCTTGGACTTAGTGAGAAATGTGTTGGTTTCCCATTGAGTTTAACTAGGAGCCTCCTGGTGTCCTACCTGTGCCTCTTATTAGGCTCTCTTTCAAGGCCTGTATCATATTTAGTGAATCACCAAAACACAAGGATAGTAGAGACTCTAAATAAATACAATAAAATTAGTAAATCAATCTCTCTTCCTTCCAGTAAGATGCTAAAAATGGCCAGAGGCAGCAAAGAACGTGTTCTGAACCAGCTGTGGAAGAAGCAGGCAGCTAGTAATTAGCATCACTTCACAACTAATGGCCCAACTTTGATCTTTTTTTTTTTAATTTTTTTTTTTCTTTTTTTGGTTTTTCGAGACAGGGTTTCTCTGTGTAGCTTTGCGCCTTTCCTGGAACTCACTCTGTAGACCAGGCTGGCCTCGAACTTACAGAGATCCGCCTGGCTCTGCCTCCCGAGTGCTGGGATTAAAGGCGTGCGCCACCACCGCCCGGCTTTGCTCTTTTTTTTAAATGCCCATGTTATTTCATGGCAGGATTCCCTGCAAAAATCATCATTCACCACTCAACTTTTCTTCACAGTTGTCTAATCAAAAGTGAGTGGAAACATTTTAGGCTCCTGACCTTGAACCTTTGTGCTTATAAATTATTAACTATCATGATTTTTCCCTTTAAGTTCCTTTTTGATAAGTTCATACAAGTATCTGATAGATTTTGATGACACTCAATCTCAGAATCTTTTATTTCCCTCCAACTCCCATGAATTATAAACTCTTTTTCCAATAACTCACTCTCCTGCTTCATGTCTTTTTGTTTGGTTGGTAGTGAACCACTGGGTTTGATCTGAGCTACACATACGGTCTTGTGTATAGTGATCCCTGGGGCAAAGACAAATCACCAATGGCTCAATCTCTGAAGATAATGACCCCCCCTGTTCCAGAAGCCACCAACTGCCAATGCCTCTCTGGACAGGGCCTAGGTCCTCTGAGACCCTATCCCATCTATGACTGAATGTTGACAAGCCCAGTCTTGTCCAGGCCCTGTTCCTGCAATCCTAGGTCCCTTTCTCCATGTGGAAAAGAAAAGTCGGCACGCGAGCGCAGGCCCCTCGTCCCCCTAAACCACGAGAACCCCCAGGGCTCCAAGCATGCTGTATGATGACCGCTCTTGCCCCGCATGATCCCTCCCCAGAGGTGCCAGCGGCAGTAGGCGGCGGGAGCACAGATGGGGGGCGGGGTGCACCCGGCCAAAGCTACGTGCATCAGAAGGTCGGGCGGGGGAGGGGGACATGCGGGAGGGAACCCCAACGAGACCGCAAAAACACGTCCCTACTTCGAATCGCTAGAGAAGACACTTTTTCTTACTGGGGACGGGATGGACCCAACCCGACGACAAGCCTCCAGCCGGGACAGCCAAGAGCAGCGCATGTGCGAGCAACGAGTACACTGGATAGCCAGAGAAGAACGGGAAAGAACGCAAGCACATGGGCGAACGTGGGGAGGTCTTAAGTCTGAGCTGGATGTTCATATCCACTCAAGTCAGTTAGGTTCTTACAAACCTCAGATAAGGGACTGGTAATGTGCTCGTTTTTGAAGACTGGCCTTTGTAAGTAGAACAGCCTTCACTCTTACGTTACAAATGGCTGCTCCTGCATCACCACCACCTTCTCCTGGAGGCCTGGTAGGGTTAAATGCCCCTGATATCTTCACTGTGAAGACCTGGTAGAACACTTAAAGGAAAGCTTTGAACGTGTTGAGGGTCTTCCTCAGAGAATGGATCTCCTTGACACTCTTACAGCATAAAGTCCTCAAAGCAGATGAAGGATTCATAGTCTGGTATTGCTTCCCATAAAGCTTTTGATGGTGAGCCCTTGCCATTTGAATTTGTTATGGTCTGCATCTTGTGCCCAATTCTTTTTTTTTTTTTTTTTTTTTTTTTGGTTTTTCGAGACAGGGTTTCTCTGTGTAGTTTTGCGCCTTTCCTAGAACTCACTTGGTAGTCCAGGCTGGCCTCGAACTCACAGAGATCCGCCTGTCTCTGCCTCCCGAGTGCTGGGATTAAAGGCGTGCGCCACCACCGCCCGGCTTGTGCCCAATTCTTAGACAGTGATTTTTCCATGACGTATTTTTTTCAACTTGGCAGGGCAGGGTATCAACTACCAAGCCACATTATACATTGGAAAACAGTGAAATCAGCTTTTAATTTTGTATTTTAAATTGTAACTTCAAATGCATTTTTAAATTCTTAACATAGCCATTCACATATTATTTTATGTAATGGAATAAAATGGAGAAATAAATATCAAAGATTTTTAAATCTGCTAACAGTGGCTTCCTTCAAAGAAATATGAAGCAATAGAAGCTTTATCAGTAGAATTAAATTACACAGGAGACATTTCTCGTTCTAAAACCTCTTATACTTCAGATTGCATGAATTTTCACCTTCCAGTTCAATAACAGCAGGCTAATCTCTAACACTATTGTTATTGAAACTGTCTTTTTCCTGTCTTCTCTGAAGGCATGAGCTACATCACTTTGGTCATGTGAAAGTGCATCATTGTCTGTTCCAGTATCCATTCTTTGTTACTCAAAACTAAAGTCCATTTTTAGTAAAATTCTAAACCCCTGGATATGTTTTGTCCCTCTTGGGTTCTCGGGTTTTAGGTTTAATTCTTCTTGATTGGTAATGAAAAACAATTAGTCATAAATTTTTTCACTAAGACAAATACACAACATCATTTTAGAAGAAATAAATAAATCTTTATTTGTACTCATGGATTCAGAAGTTTCAGTACACTTGCTTAACAATGGCAGAGCACCTGCATCCCTCTATTGAAAGGAGGAAGCAGCAAGGAAGATGATCTCCAATCCCTCCCCTTCTCTTTCTCTATTCATTGCCCACACTACCACTGACATCATGGGCTAGGCCCTGCCCAAAGATGCTCCTCATTGTAAAGACCTGATTTTCATGATAATCACTCCCCTGGTGGCCTTAATTTTACAAGTAGTAACTCTCTTCATTTAGACATTAATACAGAGTTCAACTGACTCTCTTCCTTCTTGTAAACATGAAGGTCATTTTTGCCCTGCAGGAAGAGAATGATAATAACTTATTCTTGAGTAAAATAACACCTAGTTGTAAACTCATTAAAATTGATTGGAACCATCTGAGCACATGAGAGTTTTCAAAACATATCAGGAAAACAAAGCCAAAGAATTTCAGCTCAAGAAGATCAGAGCAACCTCACCTGGTTATTCTAAAAGGAGACACAGCATTGAGATGTGTGGATCCCCATGTGTATGTTAAGGGACAGAAATGCAGAGAATTCCTGATTGTCCTAGGGATTCTAGCTCCTATCAGTCCCCACTGCTGACATGGCCTAGTAGAGCTTTCGATCATCCACCTACATTTGGACCCTCCAGATATGACCCTGTATCTCATCTCTGGAGCTGAACTTATCTTTGGGGTCAGGGCAAATCTTTGGCCCTTGGCTTGGCAATACTAACACCTATAAAAAAACATAAACATTTATACAGAACTATAGTTAGTTCTAGAAGTATCCATACCATCAGCAGACCTAATGATATTGACCTTTGTGCAATGGAAAATAGCTTATGAATATTAGATAGTAGAACTGACCAGGGAACATACCCATAGCACAGACAGCCCACCTTAACTGTGGTCCCTAAGCGTTTGTCCATCTGCACAGGTATTGCCCTTGCTTCTGTGGCTGCCATGGTCCTGTACTCACCTTCTCTCAACCCTGAGGCCAGGTTCAATGCACTGATATTCTGACATATGTGAAAACCAATGAAATACAAACAAAATGTAAAATCTTTTGAACTCTGATGTCCGTTTCTTATTCTTAACAGACATGCCAAGCTAAAGTGAAATCGTATAACTGAACGTGCTTGTCAGTGAATGAGAAGCATTTGGGATTTTGCTGTAATGTGTTGGCAAATTCCCCTTAAATCTAAGACTAATCAAGAATGAAAGTGATATTTTAAATGAATCAAAAATAAGAATATTTACCTTAGTTCAGTGAAAACATTTATTTTTTTATATAAAACACCCTCTTATTTCTCTCAGACTTTTTTTTTCCATGTGTTTCAACTCCTCAATTGAATTGCCATTTTATTCTGTAATATTTCTCATGGACCTTTCATATTATAACAATGAACTCTCATATCTGAATTACATGTAATGTATTAAGATTCATTAATAATATCAAGGATAAATCATTATTTCCACAAATATTTGTTGATATCAATACAATGGTAGAATTAGTACAAGCAGTATTCTACTAAGTCTCCACAAATTAAAAAAAAAAACATAATCCATGCGATCAAACTGTGAGAAGCACCGAATTGCAAGTGACCATTGCAGTCAATAAGCAAGAATGGATAAAATACAGAAATATTAATAGAGTTATAATGGAAACAAAGAGTAGAAAGAGTCCCAGTCTCCTCTCCCCAACTCTTGCTTTGAAAAAAGAGAAAAGGGAAATCTCTAGGAGCAAACACAAACAAGTAGATTGTTTTTCCAACAGGCAGACACTGGGAAATTACTCAGGGCTGCTGTCCAATGTCATTGTCTTAAATATTCAGTCGAGCGAGATACAGAACCCACGAGGAACTGCAATCCCACCACTCTACTGAGAAGAGCAGCCAACACAGCACAGCCGAGTCTGGCCCTCAAATCATGAGAACTAGGACTCTTGGGTAATTTTTTTTTAAGCTTTCTGTGAAAGCGAACTAAAATTTGGAAATGCAAATTGAGAAACGGTTCATTTGACTCATTTTCTACAAATTGAATTTCAGTCAAAACACCTTCCTTACTTCGAACCTTACAGTGTCTTTAAGAGTCATAGAACATGGCACATTGTGGGTCACTGTGTCAATATATTTTACATATTTCTTTATGTTAATCTCTGTGAATCAAAAAACTGGATTGGAGTGGTCCTGTGGTGTTTCCAAGCATGCAAACGGAAATCAAAGCCAATAACTAACAGTTTGTGTGCGAAGAGCAGTCATCGTCCTTTTCTTTGTAAGAAGCCAAATGGAATAATTTTCCTCCTAAAGATTAAAACCTTCTGTGAATTGAATTAACTATATCCTAGGAGGGTTTCAAACCTTTCCTTATTGGTCAATTAACTTCTCACTCAAACTTCCAAGTATTCATTCTTGAAAAGCCATTCTGTATGTATTTCATGCTTGTTTCAGAAGTTACAGTAAGATATTATCCCAGGATGTGACAACAGTAA